TCCAATGGGACTCTGGTGGAGCTGTGGATCGAGTTTGAGGGACTGATTCGGTGGTTACTTAGCTGCTTGTGAAGGATTTGTCCCTGAAGCTGTTAGAGATGAATGGTGAGTCTGCTGCTTGGCATGCCGATTGGAAGCAATAGTTATTTATTTATCTACCTATTATCGATTATAATTTATCGCATGTAAAATTTAATATAGGTCTTAATAGCAATGATACTAATAATATTATACACTAGTTATTATTAATATATATCTTAATAACAACGAAAAAGAGTTATCATACATTATTTACCTAATGTTGATTGTAAATCTCAATAAAATTTGTCAGTCTTAACGTTAATTCACACATCCAAAGCGTCTAAGTATCTGACAAGCCCTGCAAAATAGTATCAGCTTGAATGTCAACCCAACGTTCTCAGGAAATTGTTTTGTAATCACCCACCGCATCATTAGCAAGTGTCAAGTAGAAAGATCTAATGCAAGGACCAGATTTGTAAGAAGAATTACAATCATCTGTTCGCTATTAATGACATAGTTTATAATTACCGGGAGACAAAGTCCATTGCACAGAATTCCGGCGAAGAAATAAGAGTTCATGATTCAAAATTATGAAGATCAAAGAAATAATACACTGTTCTTATTAAACATCTTATTCCAGCATATACGGCAACTTGGTTTGCCAATAGCATCTGGATACAGGTCGATATCAGTAATGTTGTTAGAAGGCTTTAGTTACGAAGGCAGGATCAACACCATTTTGAATAATGATTACCTTTTTTAAAAAGCCAAACGTATCGATTAGAATATTTTTGCTTTGAAATCTTGTGAAAAGTCTCACGTATGATAAGAATAAGCGTTTAAAATCCTTTGCCAGAAAATCTAAGATACATATCGCCAATCATTTCAATATTCGTAAATTTTAAGGAGGTCGTACTGGTTTGTTTGTGTAAAAACTTATGTGCAGTGTCATCAGGAATTTACGCAATATCATTGAGATTAATAAATATCTTTTCGTTACCTCTACTACTTAGAATCTCTCCAATCTAATGCTTGTTTTTTTCAGAGTATAAAACATCGGGGGGTTAAATCGATCGATCGATCTTTGAGAGGTCTTTTATTATTGGGAAATTGCATATTGGTTTTGTGGAAGATAATCATCCTAAACATTCTAACCGACTTGTCCAAATTATTTCTTTCGTTATTAATGAGCAGTGCGTTAATAAACTGTACGCAGATTAGGTGGAAGTACTATTCAATGTAAAGGACATGCAAGGCAGGTATTAAAAAAGAGATAAATCAAGTATTTGATATTAAACTATAACATTTTAAGAGTTACTTACAAACAATGGTCGGTTACAAACGGTTTGTGACGAGAGACAACCGTTTCACCACTGATAATCGTTCCACTGACAACAGCATATTGAAATGCAAATAATGAACCGGACGTTTGTGACACACTGTATGTCAGATATCCTAGACCCTTTTTCTCTTACAATTCGCTTTCGATAATTTGCTTTGGTTAACTGTATAATAAAAAATCAGCGTTAATATTCAAGTTTTCTTTTTCGAGCCAATATTCTGTTTAGTTAATTAACATATATGCAAAAGCAACGTTGATAAAAAAAAAGCCCAACTTTAAACTGTTACGTAGACGCCAAGAAATAACCCCAAATAAACAGCACGAAGTAAAGAGTAGAAAGTATATCAACAATACAAGCTAGTTTTTCTTAGAAAAGTAATAGTTATTGATACGTTAGCACTGACCCTCACACATTGACTTTAAAATAACTGAGTATGGTCGTAATCTACTCACCGGAGAACTAACGATACCAAAACAAATTGGTGAGATTAAACCAGACGACGGTTTTGCATTTGTCATCTGAATGAAAGAAACGACGTTATAGACATTCTACGATATTGTCGTTTGCGGTGTACATGCTATTATACTATAGAAAGATAGCCTGTAGTAAATCGGTACCTTATAACGTAAATACTAGTACATAAAGCCTTGATAGTCAGCTTTCAAGAGTCATGCTCAATTGCCATATTAACAGTCTTGAAAAAAAAAAAGAAGAAACAAAACCATTTGTTTAGCGCCGTATATCTCTGCGAACTGATAAGGTTTCTGATAATATTAAGGTTACCAAGATATTATTAGCACAAACACTAACGTTATTTTTCCCCCCTTCTCCGTCCACAGTAATATTTTGAACCGCATGCAAGAAAGACTTTGTTCATAAAGCGTGTATAGAACAATGTCAACAATCCAAGATTAAGTGGGAATGACCCATGTAAAAAGCGTTCTGAACCGCGTAATAATCTTTTCCGAACAATATTAAGATGCAATGAGCCAATGAGATGACCACGCAATTCCAAATTAATACTAGCATTATTAATAATATTTAACCATTATAGCGAACGTCTGTTATCAATATTATAGTAATTGATTCGCATTGAAATTACCAAATATAACGTAAATCCTGATATCGTTATCCGAACAATGTCACCACTACGATGGACAATACGAATCGATGGCGTAATTGGCGTCATTACTTTACCAAGCTATTGCATTGACAATGACAGCGACAATTTGGTTCTTGGCAAGCAAAGCATATACTACAATGTCAGGTCAGAGAAAAAGAAAGGGAGAGGAAGAGGATACAGCAAATTACGATTCAGATTTTACAGATCGTTTACTATTGATATATCGTATGGACATTCAACCCAAATTCGGGAATTCATTGTAATTTTAAGGACAGTGATATCATCTACTAGCCGTATAGCACCACACTGGATGCGAGCGAGAGAAAATTTTATGCATATAATGGCGACAATATTAACACAATGTGTGGGAAAATTTTGATCGGAATACAGTGACAAAAATATATTTTTTTATTTTAGACATGGTATTATTTAGCAATCACCAAAACCTACTTCACAATGAAAAAAAAAAACCTTTTAAGTATTCCTAAACAATGAGTTATCTTAGTAGCCAAGTACAAAAGTACGTCTTTGGAAAGATTGTGCTCGAAATAAATAAAAATAGAACACGAGCGCTCGCAATCTATTTTCCAACTATTCTTCCGCTTAAAAAAAGACCCTTGTCTAGTTCTAGCACAATAATAATCAATTGACTGCTAGGAAGTCGCAATCAATGATACCAAATGAGGAAACCGTGTGTAGTTGTCCGTTCGAAAGTTTAACTTTACAAGTTTGCGGTTCCACTGAACTAAACTTCGTTCCTCCCTTGTGCTACGACTCAGCCACATGTTATATTCACTGTATGCAGAAGACAAGATTATTCGAATGTAATAAATGTTGGTATATTTTATTTTATTTTCCCGTCTCATCTGCAAAAAAACAAGAAATAAAGAGAGAGAAAGAAGAAACAAAGATAATTTATTTTCATTGAAAAGCGATTTCAGAATTAAAGTTTCGACAAACCGACTGACAGGTTGTTCATTCTACAGATGGAGATCTATTGATAGCCGCTGACTACTTTTAGAAATTTTAATTGTGTGTGTAACGCGTGGTGTGGATTATGGACTGGCACAGGGCGTTGGAAGATCACCTGTTACATTTTACGGTGCGACATGATATCATCTGTACTCCTTTGTTCTCTTGCTTTGAATCCCCCCCGCCTCGCTTGTTCCTTTTTTTTTCTCTTTTGCTTGACAACAACAATCCCCTGCGAGAAAAAAAAAAAGAGAGATACGGGTTTTACTGCTATTTTTAGATTCTTTATATTTTGGTCCATTTTCTCCATGGATTCAAACAATACCTTGTCGATGAAACTTGATAAAATGAAACCAAACTCGCCCCAAGTGACAACGGGTCGGTAATCATTATCGATTGCCCAAACCTTTGTATTCGCTACGGGAGAGAGTAATCGACGTTATCAATATTAATAGTAAACTTTTAGACAAAATGAGAAATGCCGTTGTTATCGAGCTGGTTATACACGGTAGCGTGCTCAGTATCTTATGATATCAGTTGCTTAATAATCTTTGTAGTTGGGGCACTCAAACAAGTTTGTTGGTATAACAATTATTGTGACGGCGTTTCCGTTCATTGGTCAGTACGACACTGTATTTCGATTTCCAAATTTCAGTCCATAGAATTATACCGTATCCACGGCCGATGTTATAGCAACTTCTATAGATGCACAACCGCACTTGTTCTACCACAGAGGCGTGCATATGTGTGCAGAAACCTGTTTCGGACCAATGACCCCGGTTGCACGAAATTGTGAGAAGGCATGTTTGATACGTGTGACACGAACGGTGAATTGAACCCTGGGGTCAATCAAAACATATAAATAGTGTGTGTTTAGGACTGTGGAGAGGACAGATTAAAAGTTGTAAATAATCTCATAAACCATCAATCACTTCATACTACTACCACCAACTACTACCACCACCACTACCATCAACTACCACTACATCACTACCACCACTACTATCACTATCATCATCAACCTCTCAATACTCAACTTCTCACACACACGCATCCACATAAAAATGGCAGAGTCATCATACAAACAACTTGTATACTCTACTCTTAAAACGTTAAACGAACCCAACAACACCGGCGGCGATTTCTTTAACCATGCCGACGACGAAATATACATTCCAGAAAGTTTCAGTAGCTTTTTTGGAGATTTCATCGGTGAAGATGATATAAAGGATGCTATCGAACAATTACATGAAGAGAAGAACGAAGGAAAGGTTGAACCAAAAGTGGAAGTAATAGCGAAAAAAGAAGAAGGATGGTTTACCGATGTCAAGAAGATGTTTGGAATGGCTTAAGGTCCCTTGAGCCTTTATCAACAATGATTCTCTACTCTGTTTTAGAAAAAAAAAAGTCTGATATATATAAGTATCTCTTTGGCATATATGTATCTTTTGTACATTCGCATTTTATAGATAGATAGAAGCAATAGTTCACTTCTGTCTTGAACATTGTATCACTGTAGCATTTTTTATCAATTAGCATACAATATACATATATATATTTATAGGTAGCGGTATTTCCGCACTCTCATTGAATAAAATCTATATTGTTCAATTGAAGGATGAAAAGCATTAATTTTCTTGTCTGCTGTCTGCACCTGTTTGCCTGCCTGCCTTCTTGTGCTTACCCGTCTTCCGTTTTACATAGAATGCAGTTACCGGTCTGTTTACATTAACTGATACTATTGCAATAATTATCGTGTGTGTTGCAAATGATTAACCATAATTCAGTTATTAACAATTTAGATTAGTTATTCTCATTTTCGGTTATTTTATCCATTAATGGAATGCGGTCCAACATTACTGTTAAAGTATAATGTATGGCAGTGCCAATTACAAGCTGTAACTCATAGTAGATCAACTGAATGATCGATAAAGGTTTAGTGCGATGTAAACTTTACTTTTGTCCCTTGTCTGCCTACCACCAATTATCAGACAACGATGAACAAACAAAGAAACGCCAATAGCACACAAGTTGCAAAAAACGGATCTTTGTGTGTGTATTTGTATGGGTGCAGTGACATCTTACCATCATTCGTGTTGTTAATGGTACTAAAGAATTCTTTAATCTTAATACGGAAATTCTTATTAAAAATAATAAAACCAGTTTTGCATTTTTGTCAAATAGCATATGACGTCATGCTACACGTGGGGCATGGCATTCCATTATTCAAATCACTGAAAATTTATGATTTCTTTCCGCCAGATTTAAACATGATATCATCTATTCGACTGTTTGGTCAAGTGAATAAAAACGTCTAACAAAACGTTGGGGAGGTGGGGGTAAAGGAAGAGTCTTGATTTGGCTGTTAAAATTCTCTTTGTCGGGAACTTTTTTGTGATCTACATTAGGTTACACGGTGACCCCACAAATCATAAATAAATGCACTTGTATCAATTTGTCGAACTGAGGGAAATGACTACACCAAATGTAAGGTTTATTCCAACGATTCGGAGGCTTTACCAAATTTAAAGCCTTTAACTCTATCAGAAAGCAAAGACATTATTATGGTTTGCTCAATGACTACGTACACTTGAATGCGACTATTTTAATCGTGACTACTATCATATACAACACTGTCACTTGTTTACAACATCATACAGTACTACAAACTATTTTGTTGCTCCGCATGAATTCGTTGACCGATAATGTGTTATGGCTAATGATCATGCAACCAAATGAGGTGACCCCTCGTCGTGAAACCGCAAGGAGGACACAGCATGGAATTTATACTGTCTGCCATTTTTGACTGTTCTATTAACCCGTATTATAGGTGATTCACCACATACATTTGTGTTCGCCTGCAGTACGGAGTGGTAGTCGGATTTGGGTATAGCATGTGTTGTGCTCATAACAAAGATTTTTTCCCATGAAAGTTTTATCAGCGATTGTAATTTCTATATCTTTGCTTCACATTGACTGACTGTGTGTGAAATGTCCTTATTATGCTTACTTCTAGACCGTAATAAGGCAACAAAGAAGACAGTACTGATGCCGATTATCCGGCTGTGTACATTTTGAATGTGGTAATCTGGGCATTTTGCAAAGTCATTGATAAAAAGCATTTTCTATATAATCCGTCGCTAGTCGACGTTAGTTGTTATGGTAATCTAGTACCGTTACCGTTACCCACCACTATAAACATTTACAACCACGGCAACCACTACCATTGCTACTCAAACACTCACCTTTTTTTTTTCAGAAAGTGTTATTAAAAGATATTGCAATTATCACGAGGAACCTTTTGTTCGCAACAAATTTAGTTTAAAAACCGTAACAGTTCCATTTTGAAATATTTTTAACTGATGTAATAACTTAAACTGGGGATAGAACCTGTGATACGCAAAATTTTGTTTGTGGCGTTATTATTATGCTGTGCAAACACAAAATGGCGACAATGCATTAACCAATACAGCATTCCGTGAAAGACACACCATACTGTCAGACGGCTATGCGCATTATGAGGACGTGGAATGGATTTGAATATCCCATTATTAAACAAAGAAATAGAATTTTTATGCCATGAATACACAATATAACGGGTTGGTCCAGATCTGATATACCCGAAATTATTATTTAGTGCCCGTACATCACTATTTGGCCACTTTATACGAGTTAAATAAATATGACATGTAATGTATGGATAATATCCACATTAAATATATTTTGAATGATATAAAAAAAAACATCTTTGGTATTAAATAGCTCTTTTTTTACGTCTGTGCTTGCTAACGATTCGAAAGTCATATGACGTACGTATATTTCTGAATGCAATTAAAATTATATTAACCTATTCATAATGATACAAACGAGATTAAATGATAGCATGCATGCAATTATGTACAATCAGAAATAATTAGATATTAATTTCTTATTCTTCGCCGTTATTATAGTACTACCGCCACGCCTGTGGATATTTTGATTGCTCTTGCCAATAACCATCTTCATTTTTGAGCACTATATCGTGAGAGCTAGGGGAAATGTTGGAAAGATACAGGTCGATTGTTAATTACTTTACTAATATTTATATTTTATATTACGTTTTCAGAATCAAATTGACTCTCAGCACAGTCGAGGATACAGTACATTTAGGGCGAAGAGTACGAAAGAAATGCTGGAAGATGATCAAGTTGACTGTTGGGTAATGGTCTTGTATAATAATGTACAGTACGCATAAACAATTGACTCGATACTATATATAACTAATATCGATCAGAATCATTATGTTCTAGTAATTGCGCAGCAAATTGTTTGCCCATTATATGAATACATTTCGGTAGTTTAGAAGAACAAAAAAGTTATTAAATTCAATTGGAAAGGTATCGAAATATGAATTTTTGGACTTATCAAAATCATGCATGTATTATGATACAGTAATGTACAAAAAAATCCTACATTTTTTAACCCGGGGACAGGAATACTCGAACACCGAAATAGTCGTGTAAGGTTTCAGATTGATTGGATGTTTCCTGCAAATTTACAAACATTTATCTGAACCAAAAAAAAATATGATAGCTGCGTGCACTACATTGTGTGGGCAGTTATTGACATATAAAAAAAAGATGCAATAGTCAAAACTATATGTGAGCTGCCTTTGATTGTGAGCATCCAAGCAAAAAGACCAAAAGCATAAAAGCTTCTGCAATTTTCAGTAAACTATCTGCTATAAATTTTAATTGGCGTTTTTTGCTGCATGCATATGAAGGCTGTTTTATGTATTGAATGAAGGCTTGTTGGATAGCGCAAACGTTTTTTCTTTCGCTCATAGGTAGAACGTATTTTGTGTAGAATAAAATACTTTGACGCAAGTGTTTTTGTTTTGGGTGAATGTGAATTCAACTTGCTTTTATACATGAATGCTAATCACACTTGCTTGTAACATAGCAATAGGTCTAAAATGTTACTAAAAATTAGTTTAAATAACAATAAATTAGCAGAACCTCACCAAATGTTGTCAGCTAAATTACTGTCACACTCTTTATAAGCGCTTCATATAGAGTCACAACCCCATGTAGTTACATTTTGTTGGATTCAACTACAATTGATTTTATAATAAAAATTTCCCTATTACTATAAAAATTATACTGTGTGATGCTAGAAGTGTTGACCATAATAAATCAATCACATACAGTGAGTACCAAAAAGTCTGTGAATTTTGTGTGAACAATAGAAACATATGAAAACAAACTCTTTTTCAAAAATTTTATTGTTGTATTACGATATAGTTTCACAATGATTTAAAGCAAATACAAATAGATTGCACTTTTTGAAGAAAAAAAAAAGATGGGCAAAAATGCACTATTGTTGGTTTAATGAAGTAGGGGTAGATAAACTCATATAGTCTTGTATTTTTCTATTGCAACTTATATATGTGCAATGTTGCTTTATCAAACCATAGTGGCCTCAGCAAGTCATGTGATAAAATCTTCCTCTGCAGTCCGCAGTCCGCAGCCCATGATCGATTTAATTTTAGAAGTAACACCAGAATTTTTATTGCTGATCTAGATACAAAAGTAAACAGTGAAACAATAGCAAACGAGCTCACTTTAGTAATAATTTATTGGTGTTTGAACTATATAAGCGACCTTTATCCCATCGTCTAGCTCTCACGTTGAATGTTGCATGTTGAATGATGATGAGCATCTAATACTGTTGTTATTCTTATATTCCACGGAATAAATAAACAAATTTTAATTTCCTTTAATTACTTTTTTTCTATCGTTGATTAAACAACGGACAATACTTGTTGCCTACAGTATTTCGAGACTATTATGGTGATAAGATCGAGTAGCGGGTGAAGAACTAGTAAAAGTTTGTCCGTTCGGTTAGTAAAGCAATCGCTTGAAAGCGTACAGTAATTAGATAATATTTGGCGAACGACATTTATTATTATTTTTATTCGTTTAACTAGTTTTTAAATTAAAAGTGACGCATATTGACTAGTCAAATGCCAAATCGAAGCATCGCCATGTTTATTAAAGGAGATTTTTCCTTAGATTTTATAGAAGAATATAGTTGTTAATATTTTTCGTAGATTTCCTTACTTGGATACGAATGTTGGACTACGTTACGTATAGGGATTAGGAAGCGCGCATAATTAATTAATAAGAAACGTCACTGTAGCTTAGCATTCAGTTTTAGTTGATACTGTCGCTGTAGTAAGGGCAACGATAGCTGAGCTAATTGAGTCAGATTCCCCTGTTGGCCGAACCGCCTACAGTTCGCCCTCCCATAAATTTCCCTAATTAAATACGCCGACCGCAACATAGCTTATCCTTTAGCAAATTTAGGCAAATTTGACTCTCCAATAATTGGGACATTTTTAAGAAAGTTATTGTTATGTTACCTGTTGTTTAGTCATTAATGAACACATCTATAAATTATTATATTTTAAAATTAACAGCTAAAAGTTATAATTAAAACAGTCTCTACAAAGACCAACCCGCATTTTAAAAGTAATTTGATTTAATAAAATCTTAATTTTCATAAATTAAAACTATGTCAGCATCCCCTATTATTGGGTGCCATTTCCTCCCAACTTAATAAACTAAAAATTTCAATAAACAGGCATGTTGTTGAAAGTAATAAATTTTTAAAGACAAGCGCTCAAATCTCTAAGTTTGTGTAATTTAAAATTATTTTTATTTGTTATTATTAGCTTAACTATTAAAATAAATGTTTTCTCTAGAGCTTTTGCAACCCTAATAAAGTAAATTTACCCAAAAGTAATGTCTCAATAATGAGTATTTGACATGTAAGCTAACTTGTTACACTGATTTGTTATCTTATCATATTTTTTGTCTTTTTATAGTAAACATGTCTGCAAAGTGTTTGTGAAAAAGCAATTAATATATTTGAATGTAGACAGTCTTTGTTAAATGACGCCATTCAAGAAATTATTTCCTAACTCCCTTCCTTTGCCTCCACTACTCATACTTGTTTTCCATAAACTCTAATGTTTTGCTCTCCTTCAGGGCCTTCATTATCTTTTGAGAGTTGGGCGTCCGTCAACAAGGTCAGCAAGTTTACTTATCTCTTGGTTTACAATAGCTATCGCATGGCAATTACGATTACGCTTTAACGTAACAAGATATTGTGAGCTAAGGACAACTTCTTGGGGACATTTCTTATAGACCATTTATTAGTTTCACTATGTATTATTATTATATATATACTAAAGTTCGGCATTTTGCTGACAAATATGACAAACATGCTGACCAATTGATAATAGTATGACTTATGATTAATGATCATAAAATAATTTGCAGATAAAACGGGTGTAACAAATTTTACGTAACTTACACAATGATTGTCACTCAGATATAAATGGTTTTGTCAAATTCAGTGCATTTTGTACTGAAACAGTCTAAGGAATAACACTATTATTATTGTAACGAGGTTTTGCCAGATTATATTTCTATGTTTTAGCAAAAATTACATAGCAATTACACAGTAATTCTTATACAAATGCACACCAATAGTGTTTGAAAATTTTGCTGGAGATTCAATCAAATTGGAAATTTTATAGTTTATCGGTTTTTCTTATACACTGATAAAACCTGTTTAAACCAGTCTCGGGTTTAACCAGTCACCTCACGATTTCTGTTCATTAAAAACTTTCTCTAGTTAAACAATTTTCTGAACCGGTCTTTGGCTAAAACGGCCAAAATCAGCAAACCAGGCCCGCCGGTTAAACAGCCTTCACCTGTACATGCAGGAAAATTTTCAAAGCATTTGATTATTATTCCTGTCCCGAATTAAAAGACGGTAAGATACTTTTGCACGTTACAGACGACCAGTGATATATTTCAGTCGAATCTCCATAAGAAACACTCGTCAAATCTGGCAATAATTTTATTGTCGGCCTTGGCACTGACTATGAAATTCATAAACGAGTGGACATACACTTTGCCCGATACATGGTAAACATGATACGGATTTGCAAGTATGAAAAAATTACTTATTGTATATCTCTAATGTTCTTGGAATTACGTCTACAATTAATACGTAAATTATCTCAAAGACAGTTTTATTCTTACAGCCTTACAAACCACATTCACAGACGTGAGACTGGTCACCACCATCCTGGCACAACTGTTCAATTTCTCTTCATATCGCATCCTTGTTTCAAGTTACCTAAACTTAAAGAATTATAAAGGGGAGAAGTTGATAAAGGTCGTCGGAATTGATTTGGTAGAGGTTCAACTATGATTGCGACGGTGGGCAATTTGGTCATTCAGTTATGTGTCGTTTCTTCGTTCATCATATACGTAATTTGTTCATATGTATATAACATCAACTTTGCTCTTGAATATGACAAGCCCACCGGATATACGATAGCCCACAACATCCTATAGTAATTAAGCGTGTGACAACAATAAATTTCCACGCCTATAAGTCCAATTATGGATAGTCGTTCAGTCGTGTCGAATACGTAGTGATTCTATTATTTTACACGTAAATATCAAGTAGTAATTATGTCTGAATTAATTCTGCATAATGTCATTTACAGTAGTTTCAACAACTTATCGAAAAGCAACATCGTACTTTGCCAGTAAAGGTACAGTTAATGGACGGAACGGAAATACACGTAAATTTAGAATATTCTTTTCTTTGTAACACTTTTCAGTTGAACAAATTCCCCTACTTTTCCATTTAGCTGTTTTCTCAAATTCATTCGTTGAACTGTTTTTTGTAAAATTTACTGTTTTGGAAACCGAAATGATATCGCGAACAAATTCGTACGACCGCAATTACGTTCGGAACTGCTTTAATATTAACTTTGCGTCACGTCACCTAGTCAAAAAAAAACGCAGTTTAGCTTTATTGGCACAAAAACGATCTGCATCGGAAAAAGAACACGAACTAACTTGAAGAAAATTCAGCCTTAAACTCTGGACGTTTAAATGTGTTTTTCGGTATAACGATATTTTGGGGTCTGCTTCAATTCTGGATCGAGTGATCGGATTCTAAACTGAGACATCCTTAACTCGATGAGTGTCTCTGCAAAAGACATACTAGGTAGTGTAGGGTAATTTCGGTCTAACCCGGCGAACCATCGTAATGACACAGTTTGTGATACATGAATTAATATTCTTTATTTGAGAGATCGCATCGGGATTTACTGTTTTCAAACATTTCATACAGATCGTTCAAAACATCAAGTGTAACGACACTTCTGATACTTATAAAAGGCCAAGGTTTCTTGATACTGATACATTGCGTTCCTAACAGATATTCGTATATATGGTTACTATGAACCGAAATTTCATTTTTCTGTTTATGTTTTTGGCTACGCTTTATGCTGTTAGTATTAACGCCTTTCCACATCGACATGACGATTCACAATATGGAAATTATGGCTTTGTTTCTTGTGAATCAAATATTCCCCGAGAACTTGACGTATCCTATACACCTAATCCCCTAGTTTCAAATGTTAATGCTACGTTTGAAGTAGCTGGACGCCTACTTATTGATGCTCCAACAAAATTCTTTCTTCATATCATTGTATATACAGATATTCTCGAATATCATGATACGTCTGACGTAGAACCGGCAAGGCATCTCAAAGCTGGAGAATTATTTAATTTCTACGAGACTTTTACAATGCCAACTTTATCTGAACATTACAAGATTCAGGTTTCGCTAGATTCTCTCGACACGACTCTAGCTTGTGCAAACGCGACCATATAACGAGTACAGTAAGTATAATAAAAAGAGCTTGGTCACTAAACGTAATTGCTGAAACTCAGATACTCTATATTTTTTTTATGATTTAGCCTTAGGATCTTAATCTTTCTACTGCAAACAAACGACGGTGTGTTCTATAGAATAACGGTTAATAAACAAAAAATAGGTTTTTTTATGAATTAGTAATTAACCATGTGTTAAGAAAATGTTAGTTTGACGCATTGAGCCTGTTTCCTGACAATGATTTGTAACAAAGTTACATATATTTCTCTGCATCATCTTGTTGAAGAAGAAATGTACGTACAATTTCCAAGCACTAGTCAAAATACGCGGGTAGTAATAAGCAAACTTGGACGCAATTAAGCTACTGATACGTGTCTTGCAAATATTCCGTTCATGGATTATAGGCCGGCAACTCCCGGTTTTAGTGTAAGACATCTCGGTTAAACAAATAACTTATGGCTATTATTACTATTGCTATTATAATTACTAATTAAAACTCTTCATTATAATAATATTCCTGTCACAAATACAGTAAACTGTTTATAAAATTAGCGGATACCAAATTTTGCTAGTAAAACATATGAAAAGTCAGAGAAAACCCCTATTTAGGAAAAAGGTTACTTTAGTTGAAAAATATTATAAATCTGTATGAAAATCTCCTCAAGACGATCGTGCGGGAGGTTTTCTATACATGGAACGAGTCGTCCTCAAGACCCACAGTAAAGTGAAATGACGGTGACGCTACAGCGCCACGGGCAATATCTTCTGTGACCTGCTAAAGATGATTGGTAATGTCACTGACCGGCAGGGATATTCCGGCTCGTACTTATAATTTCGTCCACGTGATTTAGCGCGTGTCAATAATCCATGTGACACAGTGATTTGAAAGCTCATGAAATTATAATAATAACAATAATAATAATAAGGGTTATTTACGACTTTGGTCAAACGTGTGATGCTGTTACTAACTCGACCCGCATTCTTAAATAAATTTGTCTACAACTCGACTTGCTATTTTCTGTTATTCATCCCATGTAAATGACATTTTGTGTGTAAACATGCAAATATACGACATTTATTTAATAAATCCAATTATCTCACATTCCAACCCTATTTTATCGTAGAAACAAAATAAACTCCATTGAAAATGCTTTGGAAAACTATTTTGTCAAAAATTTTTATAATACAAACTAATTAGGATATATGATAATAATATGTAAATAGGATAAAAAATAAAGTATAAGTTTATATGCAAATTGAGAGAGAACAAGACAAAGAAAGGCGGTTGGAAAATTACAGGATCAAAAAGAATACGCAACCACAAAACAACAAAAAGAAGAGAAATGGAAACCGATAAAGAATGTATTGATGGAGATCAGGGAGATCGGGAATACAATACAGCGCACAGGATAAGACCTGGATATTTATTATTAGTCAAAATGCGTTGCCTACAAAATACCATAATCACCATCAACAAGAATGTAAATTTGATTTGAACAACCAACTCAAGTCAATTACCAATTTTCTCCATAGTATACAGAACAGCTCAACTGGTTGGTTTGCACGCACTCTTGATGATGTTATATTCGATGAAACAATTATAAACAATTATTGCAATATTAAAATATTATAAAATGGATCTATTTATCCAGTCTTATTTCTTCTAAAGAAAAAAAAATGTACTAGGCTCTCCATCAGAGAAGAATAGGTGAGGGAAAATATGTTGTAAATTTTGGAAGTAACCAAAAGAATATGGTAAGCAATGATATTCTTTCAACCAATTAGCAAAAGACAATCAGGCCGAACAAATATTCCGTGATTGCCCGCCACTTCAAAGTATTTGACATTAGCGACAGTGCCATTGTTCTTGCCAACTAGGTGAAGAAAAAGAAAGCGTCAACTTAATTAAACTGTAAAGATCAAGTTTTGACGTCAACCAACTTGACCAACATACTATTCATCTTCCATTTACATTAATGCTCTCCCACTCTCTTCCCCCTTTCCCCCCTTTCCTTTTTTTTCCCTTTTCCCCCGTTCCCTCGCCCCACATTCGTTTCATTCACCACTCACCTGGATTGTCCAAACCGATCCCGACCCAAATTCCTTTGGCAAATTCTGTTTCACCCAAAAACTGTATAGTCCCCTTTGCATTATTCTTCTTTGGCAAAATTACTCTTCTTCCTACTGAGATATCAGGATCTTTGGTTGTCGCCAGTTTGACTTGATACGGTAACGGAGGCAAGCTAGAAATCGACGACGTCGAGGCAGTAGTAACCGTCGTCGAAGTCGAATACTGCGATGGCGATCGATGTCGAAGCGTGTGAGACGTCGATGAAGAAACGGAAGAGACGGAAGCGATAGAACTCGCTCGTGAAGATCCAGGAGACTTTGTACTATTCCTGTCTCGCCCTCTCCCCCGTCGTTGCTCTATCTCATCAAATTTCATCTGCCGTAACATACTTGAGCGCGTTTGTCTTACTCCGCCAAATCGAGTAGGTGAAACCGAAGGCGACGATATTGAACGAGTAGATGCAACCGAGCTTGCTCTTGATGATGGTGTGGAAGTCGGCGACTTTTGAAGCGGTTCTCGTCCTCTTAGCGGTGAGGTCTTGGGAACAGTAAGACTAGCGGTGGACGATTTTTTCGTCGGCGTGCGAGAGGACGAAGCTTTGCCGATTTGAGGGGAAGATTTTGTTGAGCTGGGTTTGGGTCTATCTATTGAATGAGTGATGGTTATAGATGTGGTTGAAGAAGAACTTTTTGTGCTTGAAATGCTGGCTGTTGATTGTCGTTGACTGTTAGTCTTATTCTTGGCCTTAATCGGATCCTTTGCTGCTGCTTCTTTTAGTGCTTTTTGTCGCAATACACTCGCTCGCGTAGGACGATCATATGATGAAGTCGTGGTTGTCTCACCAATTCGAACTGACTTGCCTTTTCTCGTTGACGATACTGTAGAAGAAGAGGAGGAAGTCGACGTTGAAGCTGATGTGGTCTTTGTCTTTGTCACAGTTGATCCTCTAGCGTTTGTTGCTGATGACGTTGCGGAACTACTCGTGCTTCCATTAGAGCTCCCAACACCCGATTTTCCTGTTGTAGTTTTCGATCCATTTTCGCTCTGATTTGATTGCGTTTCTTTCAAATCGTCCTTTTTTAAACTTCCATTGGTTCCATTGCCGTTTGTGGACGCTGACGTCGATGCGGATGATTTTCCGTTATTCGCCGGGTTTGTGACTGTTCGTGATGTGCTCAGACCTCGAGATTGAGATTTCGTCATGCTTGTGAAACTACTTGAGCCGTTAGAGAAGTAAGGCATCGGTTTACTTTGTTGGTAGGAACTGTCAGTTAGGTCCTTTACCGGAACATTCAGTTCTGGATCATGAAAAAATTTTTTCAGAAAAATGTGTTTGATGTTAAAATCGAATCGATAACAGTCCGATCTAGTGTCCATACATTCTAATAAAAATTCCTACTTACCTTGTGAAAATTCATTCAGCAACCATGAACTCATTCCCCTGAATCCGCCATACTGTCTGACACCAACCCACCTCTTCTTCACATAATCGAATACATTTTGTTTTGCTTGTAATAAAACTCTCTTTGACTCCAAGCTATCTCCTTCCGAAACGGTTTCTCTTGTAAGTAATTTGCCCGTAATACAGGCGAGTATAACCCCTGCGTTATCTTCCGTTAAGCCTTCCTCGACGACAATAGTCGTAATATCCTCCAATAAGTCTGACGAAAATCCGATCCCGTCAACGCAATTAAGAAACTCTTCATCATGATCACAAATTTCTGAAAAATTTTCGACTAACAAGGAAGTAATATGCGTTCGCACTTGTGATATCATCCGTCTAATAGTCTCTATCCATGGTAATCCAATTCCTTTCGCATCAATAATAGCCAATACCTTTCGACATCCTTTGAACACTTGAACAATCTGACTACTCTGTATGTTCGTCAACAAATTTAGAAAAACTTCTTCCCTTATATCTTCGTCCAAGTCGGCGAATGCCTTTTGCGGCCACATTGCATCGAATCCATGTGTCAATACGTGTAAACAACCTTGCCATAATATGTCGACTTCGTGTTCTCTAGAAAATGTTGCCACACGGGGTATGACTGCCTGACATTCTGTGCAAGTACAAGAAAAAAAGTGCACCTTGATTGCTATTCGATGAACGCATAGGTCGCCGAGCGATTTTATCCCGAGAAAGTCAGAGCCAATATAGACCATTTCGCATGTTTCCAGTGTCAAAGGTTTTGAAGATATCGTTCCAGTATATATAAAAGTAAGGATTATGTCTAGAGACGTTTCGTTGAATATGGACGCATCGAGGGAGGTGGAAGCAGCACGAGAATCAGCGTAGTCGGATTCTAGCATAGCTCTAAAGTAATCGGACCGAGCACGTAACATAAACCTATGAGCCCTCATGGCCCTTGGCTTAACATTCTTGGACACATACTCATCCTCTTCGGATAATATCTCAAGGCGATCATCCGGCACACTGAGTGTTAATTCAATGTCAGTGTATAGTTTTGACTTTAACATGTACAATAAATCTTCTTTTAGTTTTTCCTGCTCTAATTCATCCGTCGTATCCACTGCAGTCATAAATTCTTGTGAGCCTTCTTCACCCGTGTAGAAAAATGTTAATTCGTGCTTGAAGTCAATATAATTGGCGTCTGTGGGATAGATCAGAGGTTCGACAGTAGAAAGACGAATCGAGCGAGCGGATGAAGATGAACTATCTTTGTTTTTGAGGTATTTTTCTTGGAACAGGCGGGAACTTCTTGCGTAGAGGATAGCTAGTGCAAAAAAAAAAAAGAAGGAAAGGGCGATGATGGAATTTGAGTTGGACAAGTCAGCATAGAGATTCAGGCAAATGAGAGAAGATTCATAGTATCGATGGAAATGATAAAATAACGATTGAATATTTTTTAATGTCGTCTTAGTTGTAGTGTTGAGTCCGATCCAAGATTTTTGTTGTGTACATATTAGAGAAAGAAATACAAAAGAACAGACAATGTTTAATTGCTCGACAATGACTGCTTTTATTATTTATACTAATGTCTCTATAATAATCACGACTTGATACAATCAAGAACACGTACTCTAACAATCGCTACTGAACCAGTTTCAACTCCCACACCCTGTTTTTGTTTTCTTTACCTTTATGTGCGTATATAACAGTCGGCACAGGAGCCGACGTAAATTCCCAAGCGATGTCGGCAAAGAAGTCCTTTGCATGTTCCATCGTGTAGCGCAAGTCCTCTATCAACGTATCCGGCGGCTCTGCAACAAAGTCTAGTCCCGGTGGCGGGGGAATTGTGCGTTTCTTTTTTTCTGTTGGCATTATGAATTTAGTAAATTATATGAGGGAACGACTGTAAAGGTTAAGTGCATATGCACTTGTGTTGAGAATAGTGGAAGGGAAGAGTGTTGAAAGAATTGTACTTTGAAGAGGATTGGGAGTTCCTCTCAAATGGTTGATGGTTAAATAGTCTCTGTTAGTATTATTAAGCTCAAACCCAATCCTTGATTATCAAACGTTGCTTTTTATCAAAAATAAAACTTCTGAAACTCTCTTAAACAGTTGACTAGGTGTGTCTATAATGCCTAATCGCTCTTCTTTATTGACTAAACTAATCGTCTGGTTCTGTAATTTATTTTGAGTGTTGGCATCCGTATTTGGGGGGTCTTCTATGAATATATTTGGCGTTGAGCCTTTGGATTGGGCTACAGACTGGGGGTGGGGGGCGGCGGAACGATAAAATATCGCAAAGTTAATAAGCTCAAGGTTGCATGTGCGCCGTATGAGTAACACTTGGGGGTTATTGTGAGTGGAGGATTGCTCTTTATAGTACTGAGAGTGGACGTGTGAAGTATGTTTATGGTGGGAAGAATATGAAGAAATGAAAAATTGTGTTGATATACTAATGTCGTTAAATGATAACTCCTGTACGGTTAATATATTAATGTGCATGCGTTATGCATATTAGTTAGTCATTGGTCTAAGAATTTCGATACAGTCACACATTCAGATCTGCGGTCATCTTCACAAAGAATGACACGCAGATTGATTCTCGAAGAGATAATAAATAATATACGGGAACAACCGGAAACAACACCCATACTTGCGCTTACAAAGACGTACGGTAAATTATGGCCGCATTGTGAAGACGCAAGGATCGAAGAAAGGAAGAATGAAGTGTTCCAACACATTGCTCAATCATCTTATATTCCCTTACAAACAAATCCACAGCAAGCCCCGCCGCCATTCAAAATAGCAATTCTCGACTCTTCCTTCAATCCCCCAACGAAGGCTCACGTACAACTCCTCCTTAACTCGCTTACCACATCTCTTTATGCACCATTCACCAATGAACCAGTAAAAGTAGAGTTTGATGCGTGCCTATTATTATATTCTACCAAGAATGCGGATAAAGTCCTAAAGGAGCATGATGCTGGTCCTGTTGATAGAGTATTGATGATGGAGAATGTGGCCGAGTATTTAAATGAGATAGCTAAAGGAAGGGTAACAAAAGAAAAGGCGTCTGCTGATGAATCGAACAGTTCAGTAGATTACAAATTAGCAGAGAGTCGTGATGACATCAGCAACAACGAAATGTCTTCAACCGCCAATGATGCAAAATTTCATTCAATCCAGAACATTGCGGTAGGAATAACCAATTCATCCCGATTTACGGACAAATCACGCGCTCTCTTATCTTATTGTTATCCAGCGTTTTCGCCTTGCCTATATTTTATATTGGGCTTCGATACACTCATTCGTCTGTTTTCTCCCCGTTATTACACTGACATCTCCTCGTCGCTTTCCTTTTTGTTCTCTAATTCCTACACAATTTACGCCGAGCGCGATATTAATGATAAAACAGTTGAGAATGAGTTTTGGCGCGGAAATAAATGGGCTAAAGAATATGCGGACAAAATATATAGGGTAGAAATTGACGATGACGTTCAGAATGTG